CGCTGCCGGGCGGGTTGGCTGGTCGGGGCCTCCCACCGGCGCCTGAGGGGCCTGGTGCTGGCGGGCAGCGGGACACCGGCCAGCTGCAGGCTTCCAGGCTGGGAGTGGGGACCCGGCCAGGGGGTGCCGTGCCCTGGCGCTTCGCTCGGGGTGCAGCGCCTCAGCTCAGGAGCCCCCCTGCGCCCGCCCAGGTCCCGGGCCGGGCACTGCCGAGGGGCCTGCGTCTGTTTCTCCCAGGGCGCGGTCAGGGCTGCCAGGCGGCGCCCGCTGGGGCCAGGAGCGCACCGATTCTGGCAGCCTCGCCGTGGCCTGCTGCCTGGGCACACGGGGCCTTGTTCAGAGGTTAGGCGCAGGGGCTCAGACCCTGGCCACGCCAGCCTGGGCCGCCGCCTGCGCCGTGGCCCTGGTCTGCGTGCGCCCTGCTGTGGGCGAGGCTGGCCAGCCGCCCCACTTGCCCAGAGACCCTTCCCAGGACGCAGCTGCCCCAGCAGCTGGGGGTCGGTGGTCACCACACTCACCTCGCCCGCCGGGTGTGCACTGTCCCTGCTGTCCAGCCTGGGGCCCAGATGGGCCTCGGGCAGCGGGGCAGGACACAGGAGCCGCCAGGGGCTCCTCTTGGGGACACTGACTGGGCCAGGCCCTGGACAGTGGGAGGCAGGAGCTGGACGCACCTTCCCTGCGCTCCCGGCCATGGCCGACTGGGCAGGGTCAGTTGCTGGCCCTCACCTGCGTCGTGTCACCCGAGCCTGTGCAGGAGCTGCACTCGGAGCACCCCGCCGGGGCCGGGGCTGGGGCCGGGGCAGCAGCTGCCGGCAGACCTCGCTGCCCTGCGGCTGGACTGCCAGAGGGGCACGTCTCAGGCCGAGGGTCTGTGCCCACCCCCATGGTCTGCCACACCCCAGCCCCAGGGGCTCGCCGGTGGGCAGGCTGCAGCAGGGCACATGCCCGGTCCTCCCCTGGGCCGCCGGCCACCAGTGGGCCCCCAGCAGGGCCGCGCAGAGGGCCCGGTGCGCAGCCTGACCCTCCCACCTTCCTGACCTGCCCAGAAGCTGGGGGCTCGTGGCCGTCTGGGTGCGGCCCAGCTCGGGTGCAGCTGTGGGGACGCCAGCTGCAGGGCTGGCCTGTCCGTGGCCAGAGCGGGGCCTCGGGCTGGCCAGAGCCAGGCAAGGAGGGGCTGGCCGGGGGGGGGGCTGGACCTCCATGCTGTCCTCGGCCACCCCAGCCACTCGCAGTGGGCCCCCCCAGGCCAGGGCACACTCGGCAGGGAGGGGCCTGGGGCCAGGGCTGCCCGCCCCTGCCTCTGCCGGTCACCTGGCCGCAGGGCGGGGTGCAGCGGCGCCGGGGCTTCTGTGGGAGCTGTGGGGCCGACGGGGCCAGGAGGGCAGCTGAAGGGGGGCGGGTCCCGCACGCTGTCCGTGTTGCCGAGCCGTGTCCCGCACCCGACGTGTCTCCTTGTGGAGCTGGGGTGCGGGCCGGCGGCGGGGTGAGCACGCTCCCCAGACCGCGGGAGCGGGCAGGCGGGCTCCAGCCCACTGCTGAGGGGCAGCGGGGGCGGGGTCTCTGTGCCCTGGGGGCCGCACTCAGCGGCCTCAGAGCGTGGAGCCTCACCCCTGCGCCCCAGGGAGGCCCCCTAAGGCGCCTGTCACTGCACCTCGGCCGCCGGCCACGCGGGTCTGGCCAGCCGCGGCCAGCAGCCCATCGCCCACGTCTAGGGCCTTGCCCACCGAGTGTTGTAGAAACGGAGACAGTCCTCAGGCCACCGGCCCCGGCTGTGCGC